ATTCTTGAAGATAACTGCGCATTTTTGCGTTCTCGAATTAATTTGAATGCGCTCCTGATTAAATTTTTAGCTGAAATTTGGTATGAGTAAACTAGACTTGATGAATAAGATGCTCAAAAAATTTCATCAAAAAATTTCACCGGGAACCGCCCCAAATCGCGACGACCGGACAGAGTCTCCTATATAAGGACTTAATTGACTTTTTTATGAAAGTTCGAGGACCTATTTGACAGTTTTCTCTAAAGTATTTATGCAGCAACCACCTTAGTACATTGATCCTTCTATTCCCAACCATGTGTTCCTCGTACACAACTAACACAAGGTAATCTATGGGCTTTATCAAGCTCACGGGGTACACTTATTTATATTGTGAACTAAAAACTTGCCGCATGGGAGCCGGTTCAACAGCAATAAGTTTATATCTTCTCTTCTCAAGGTACACTTATTCATATCCTCGTATACCTTGACGGTATTATACACACTGACAACACCACAAAGGCTCTTTTCTCTTGGACTCTTCCTCACTCGAAAGAAATAGACCGGAGATATATAGGTACTTCATCCGTTTCATCGAGTTCATATGCACTCCTATCTCCAACACCCACACCTATCTCCAAAAGTGACTCTATCTTTCCCGGAAGGCTCTCTGTGTGACATCACAGACTATCGAAGTGTGATCAATGCCTTACAATTTTTATCATTCACCAAACCAGATATCAGTTTTGAGGTAAACAAACTTACCCCGTTTATCCAACATCCCACAACATACACGGGCAAGAGGTATATAGCATACTTCTCAAAATAGGAGTGAATGAGTCATATCTTGAGAAGAAAATTAATGACACCCATATTTGAGGAATTATGCTTAACGAATAGTATAAATGATGGTTAGTTGTGACAAAGAAATTAATTAGAGCATATTTGTGATTAATATAAATGATGATGATGATGATGAATGATGGTAGATCGATTGTGGTGATGGAGGATATATTCTGCATATTTTGTGGGGTGCTGGACAACACATGTGACCTGAGGAAATACTATGGGCTGTCAAGACAAGCCACAGAGGGAAGCATAATGGTGGAGGCTTACAAGGTCCTAAGAGACAGGGCACCCTACCCTCCAGATCAAGTCATCAAGGGCCTTGACGGAAAATTCGCCTTCATCCTCTTTGACTACAAAACCTCTACTCTTTTTCTAGCCCGGGTACAAACTACCTGCATGCCTACATTTATTGTATCTTTCCTTTGAATTACAATGTGAATTACTGTATGGTCGATCTAATCTCTTACTAGTACGTACGTATGTACATGTTTGAATTCCGCCGGCCTCAATGGATGTGTAGGATCGGGAAGGAAGTGTGCCACTTCACTGGGGAGTGGGTGCGGATGAGTCATTAGTATGCAGTGATGATGCAGAGTTTATCAATGCCGCTTGCGGTGGTCACTGTTACACCCCCTTTCCTCCAGGTAACTATATATTTAGCTAACTATATACGAGTATTTAGCTAGCTAGCTAGTGTTACAATTAAATTCCTAATAAATAAAGCTATGAATATAATTGAGACCCGAGGGATTGAAATATTTTAATTGATGTACAGAGTATTCTTTATTTTGTCACAATAAATATACTTCCTCTGTTTCCATCATTTGCAATGGAACCAAAAAACTCGTTATTTTTTGGTTTGGAAATATGATGGAAAAAAGCAAAATGGTTCACTAAACTATTTGCGCTTCTTTGTTTTGAAGTAACACTAAGTCCATGTAGTTTTCGACGCGTTTTTTCACTTAGGATCATTCCGAAACAGTCTCTTTGTGCTTTACTACAAGAGTAAGACTGCGTACATCCAACCCCTCACCCCACCGACGATGGGAGCCTTTGCGGCACTAGGGTAATGATGATGAAGTATACCCACTTCATGATATGGCACATATAATTGAATTGTGATTTGCGGATTTGATGCATTGGGACAGGGTGTATATTCATGAGCGGGAGTGGGGGGCTAAAAAGCTTTGATCACCCGATGCACAAAGTGAGAGGGATGGTGCGGCAGGAGGGAGCAGGTGGTGAGGTCAACGCCGTCATCTTCCAGGTGGACTTCTACACCCGGATCCCCAGCATTCCCCGCACCGGCAGCGCCTCTAATTGGGCTGATGTTAACGCATGATGCGGCGGCGTGCGGTGGCTCTTCTCCACCCTGATCTATACTTAATCAATGACCATGCATGTAGTCACTTATACATTCACATCCACCGATCTGTTTAATTAATAAGGTTTCTTTTTGTTGTGCTATCCATCTAGCTAGCAGCTGCACCCAACATATTTCATTTATGTGATAATACTTCATGTGTAAATGTGTAAAGCAATACTTAATTACATACCATATTTCATGCTTACCAAAAATTTAAGGTCCGTTTAGTACCTAGTTCTTTCAAATTGCTAGTTCAAAACAAATTTTTCTGTCCAAAACATTTTCAAAGAAACTTCTATGAATGTTTTGAACTTTTAATTACACATTCATGTCAAGTCACACTATATCTACTCTCTGTTCCACAAATATATCACCCTCTTGGATAATATATATACACTTATTAGCTTCATTGTGATAAGTAAGCTTAAATTCATGTTTATTTAAAACCGCCCCTGCCCCCCTCCTCCAACTCGATCTTTCTTAAAGGCTTGCTGTATTTGAATATTTCTCTGGTGTTGTCTTCAAACCGCCCCCTCCTTGCATAACTAAAACTCATGGTTACAAATCTCATGTTGCTATAAAACGTTATTTGTAAGTAGAAAAAAGATTTTTGGCCTGGGTGCTCTTGGTCATCGTTTGGATAATTGGATACCCATTTGATTGGATCTTCTTTTTTTCATCTTTTGGGGGTCCTTTAAATGTGGATCGCCGCATTCTAAACAAGTGCTCCCTTTTTATTATTTTGGACTTCTTTTGAAATGTGGAATTTTTGGAGTATTTTATAAGAGATTCTTTTTTTCTTAAATTAGACCGACTCGGTTGCCCTCTTGTATAACATTTCTTGAGAAAATTATAAGGTCATTCTTTTTACATTGTCGCCTTCACATAACTTCGTACCATCTTCAACCAACCAAGAAAAACTTGGTTTATATTCCTTTTCTACTTCCTAGAGTATCAATCAAAATAAGTTTTGCAACAAATGAGAAGCTAATACACTTTCAAACATCTTAATCGTAACTGTTTATAGATAATTAGAAATTTAGTCGATCAATAATAACTTCATACATTCTTTTGAAACTTCTAAATTTTATACACTTATACTTTGTATATACATATAAATTTTATAACTTTTAATAAAGAAAGGTTTCTTGTCATTTTATATTATTCTATCCTCTCTTTCTTTTAATTACTTGTAACATGAATAATTTTACACTATTCACATGCTATACTTTGACTACATTTTAATTGTTAACGTATGATAATTATTTTTCTTTGAAGAATATTGTTGAATTCGACTCATTTCAAATTTTCATAATCGATTTTAAAAAAAAATTGCTATCAGAAAATTAAATATACTAACGGGTGTATGTTGGCAAGTGTAAATTTGAAAATGGCGCAACTACAAAAGAACAAGTAAATACTTTAGTACTACGTGTATTATAAATTTGAAAGCATAGCATCTTTGACTTTAAAAACAAAAATGACTAACTAATTGTGTAATTTGTGTTCCCTTGCTCCGATCTCCTAGTCCTCTTTCTATTACATGCAACTTAATCATTTTTGGATATTGGTCAGGGTAAATTTGTCCTGAAACCGTTCCTAAAGGATCTTTTTTGGCAAAAAAATCATTGTAGACCTAATTTAATTTTCCTTGGGAACAATTTCATTACAAATTTATCCTAATTACACCCAAACATGATTTAGTACACGTCAAAGAAGAAAACTTAGAAGCTGAGAACAAGCGTAGGGATGTCAATAAAACCGACCCGCAGCGACCCGCCCTGGCCCGAGACATTTGGGGCGGGTCCGCCCCGCCCTGCCTATACAATGGGGTGGGTCCGGGACTCCGGGTATTCTTATTGACCCGTGCCACCCTGACCTGCCCCGCCCCGCCCCGCTCAATACATAAGCATACATACTTTTTCATAAATTATACTACAAATATACTTCAACATACATATGTGTGTATACAGTAAATCATAAATTCTTTGATTTTATAATATATTAATAGATAGATTAGAATGAGATGGACAACGGATTATCAATATCTTCTTTATATATAGCATTTTAGTACATATGTTCAATTATTAGTATAATTAAATAGATCAACTATTCAAGTTTGAGTAATTTTTCCTTATTGAAATTTTTAGGGTATCATGAATTTGATTTAATATATTAATTTGTAATTATTATTTAGAGATAAACTTTATGTAGATTTAATTGGTAACAACTTCCCACAAATAAAAATACATACTAGCTAATTAGGTTACGGCGGGGTGGGGCGGACCCGCCCTGCATGGGGTGGGTCATGGGTCAACAAGTTTGGACCCGTGCAGATCACGGGGTGGGGCAGACCCGCCCCGCCTAGTCATGGGGCGGGTCTGGGTCTTGCAGTACCCGCCCCGCCTAAACAAGCACAAACAATTACAGCTATTTGCTCTTCTTCACTATCGATTCCTCTCTTTTTTTCTTTTTCCGTTTCTTCTTCCTTTATCTTCTTTCCATCAAAATATGAAGAATCCAAAGTTCCAAACACGATTTTATTCTTCTTCATGTTCAAATTTTATTCAAGTATAAATTTATGGTTCTCTCTTCTTTATCAGTTCTCATCTAAATTAAAGTTTTATTAATCAAAAATGAAAATTCGCTTTTGTGTTACAACTTACAAAGTGTGGAAATTTTCTTCATATTCTATCTTGTATTTTTCAATTCGTGGGACTCATATTTAAAATCTAATAAAGTTCATCGTGTTTCATAAGTTATAAAAAAATACAATTCATTGACTTTTTTTGTAACGCAATTCATTGACATTTGATTCACAGAATTTAACTTTGTACAACGTGATAATTTACATATTTGACAAGCCCAATTTACATCTTATATGACGTGTTTTACACATTTGACACGCATCGTTTGCATTTTATTTAACATGGCCTACATATTTGACACAGTTACATTTCATATACATGACTTAGTTACATTTCATATACATGATCTAGGATGTTTTCTTTTGATCTATTTTCAATCCCAGACCAGACCAGCAAATTTCAGTCCAAAAGAAAACATCCTTACATCACATAGCGACACGCAAATTATATTTTGTATAACGTGGTTTTCTGAAATTTACCGTACCCTTTCGGCTTGTCCAAGTCCCGATTTAAAAGAGACCATATTAGGGCATTGACAATGGAGAGAAGTCGAATCCCGGGCCATGACCATCCTAGCTGAGCCAACGATGTCTACGACTAGTTGTTGCATAGGCACCCGTATAGATACCTAAGCTAGCGCCTGCACCGTTAGCTCAACATTTTTCTAGTAAACTGGTGCAATTTGAAAACCACAACACATGACTTAAAACGTAGTATACAATTTTACAGCTGATTTTTCCTAAACAGTAATCCAGTCCATCAGGGCAAATAAGCCATCACAAAGTATATGGATCCTCCTAGTTAGGGAGATACTAATGTGTGTATAAATTAATGAAGCACCATCATATCAATAACTCCGGCCCCAGTATGACCATATCTTGGCAGGTTTTCCCGAGGCAAAGCACAACGTTCCTACAAACAAAAGAAATCAACAACAGTATAAAAATTGTACCTACAAGTTCTTGATGCCTGGGCAAAAAGAATTCATTCCTCTACAGAACAGCTAGATATTTCTGGTGTTTTAAATGAGACAACCTAACCAAAAAACGAGTTAACTAATCTAGCTGTGGGCCTATGGTAATTCATTCCATCCCCCTATTCAAATTCATGCAGCCGATTTAATGAAGATTGCGATTGAGAATTAAAATGTTGCTCAATTGTATTATTACTCTGAGATAATTAATCAAGTAGAATATCTTCATTATCAATAGGTTTTCTGGAATTGCAAACACATGCTGTTATTTACAATAAAACTCCAGATAAATTAGAGTAGAATATCTTCATTATCAATAGGTTTTACCAAAAATATTTACTATAAACTCCACAAGCAAACGATTATTAACAAAGGTTGCAGATATGTTAGAAGGGCTACAGCTGTGCATAAATAGTGTACAGTAAGAAGCGAGTAGTACATGACTACGTGTAGACTCCAGCCAAACAAAATTTGAATAAAATAAAATACATCTAGCGACCAACAAGATCAGACGAAGGAGGAGTGAATCAGCAACCGTGACCAGCAGCAGCTACTAGTGCCAGCAACCTATGATGGCAACCTGGCTGACGGGTTGACAGGCATAGGGTTCTGGCTGACGGGTTGAAAGGCATAGAGTTTTGGCCGACAGCTTAATATAAGCTATTTGACTTCTATAACCTAATATTCTAGGTCGGGTCGGTGAAAACTGGGTCTGGGTGTTGCCACGCAACTTGAGCATGCTGTCACTCCTCCACCTCCTAGGCAACTAGGCGGCGCGATAACAACTATGCCTCAGAGAACACTAGATGGGAAGCCTATGCTGATTCTTCTTTCCCATATGTCTTAGAGCTACAACAGGTTAAAAACATGGTACTATCCTTCTTAAAGCAGGAATAAGTTACCATCGCTGGAACTTGTGATGTCTAGGTGTCGACTATGCAACAGTTAGGCATCCAGGCAGTTACCTAATTTACCATCACTGGCACTTGTGATGTCTAGGTGTCGACTATGCAACAGTTACTCAGTTAGGCATCCAGGCAGTGAAGAACATACCCATGGCTTCTCACCAAACATTGAATGATATCTAGGTGTCTACTAGCCATTAATGGGGATACCCATAGACCTGTCTATGATAATGCTTCATGGGATTTTAATCCCAAATTTCCAAAATTTCACAAAACAATTTTCAGTTTTCCCAAGAAAATAATTACAGTCTACGTTTCTGTTGATATTGTTTTCTCCAATTTTATTTCTGTAGAAAACACCAAACGCATCATAAGAAAAGCCTCACTTAATGCATCAATTATGTGAGAACAGTACCTTCTGGAAGCTCAGGCTGTTCAAATGGACAACAGAGTGTCTTCGCTGCACCCATCTCTCCTTTCGTCCGTGCCTTCACATCTATCTCAACATCCTATGGGGGGACAAGAAATCACAATGAAATTGATAAATTAGAGAATATGTGGCCAAGCACATGAGATTTTCATCAGAACTTTTTCCCTGAGACCTGAACAGACTAAACTGGCACTTTCCTCTACCACCTCTTGGTGCTACAAGCTAGGAAAATCACAAGTATGGAAAAACAAAGATACAGCAGGGAAACTGATTCAACTTTAAGCTCAATAAAGAAAGATTTAAAATGTTAACACTTTAGATGATGGAGGGGGAGATACAAAAAATAAACAACTTCAAAAAGGTTTCTCAGGTTTTTATGATGAAATTCCTCATTCCCCAGTCAAATTACAGCACACGGGTTATTTTTTAATACACTAAACATTCTAATGAAATATTCTCAATATGGTGTATTACATTTTAGCCATATTCCATGATGAACATGCAACTTCATAATATTGATCTAGTAATAGAGAGCGACTACAGAAACTATCTCAACTCACCATCATCTCAATACATTTTCCAAAAAGTAGAATGCTGTAATGATGGCTTCTCATTATTCATTCACACGAAGGTTTAGAGGAAGGATAACCAGTGGAATTTTTCAATATTGCCTCTTTTGTACTAAATGCATTTACTATTCTACAATATTTTTTAAACTCTATTTCCATCCCACGTGCCTTGCATACTTGATGAAGATGTTGATGAAGCTATATTCCAAACTGAGGTTTTTAGAAGGTAAAAAGGCAGCAACTCATGCCTCTTGTCAATTCTACAATTTTATGCTAAAACTTAAGAAAATTAGGCCAGCAAATTGGCACTCACATCTTGATGTTGAAATCAATTCTTTCATTTTGTGCTAAAGGAGACTTCAGCTTTTATCCGCCGTTAACAACTATCAGTGTAAAGCTAGCAAGTATTTACACTTTAGTTATCAAACAGTATATGAGTATATCTCAACCCCAAACTACTACCAGTCGCCACCAAGGGATAAAACTATCACAATTCTGAATTTCAGATGCAACAAAAGTAATGCAAAAAACATGAAAAGCAGGTTATAATACCTTTTCATCACACCAAGGAGCCAAGACTAACTTCTTGTCATTCAGAGCTTTCACAAATTCATCCCATGTGTTCGCAACCTGGACACATGCATTTCTCTTTTGTTTCGCAACATCAAAGAGATTTTGTTGAATGGCAACGAGCATGCCTTTGACATCCTCAGCTATGCTTTCCATGGGAATATCAATTTTAGCCCCATTGTCACGCCTTACAACTCTTACCTTCACAAATATGACAATATCAGCATTTCCTTGGTCACTATAAGACACTCCATGTAAAATATAGACAAATTACCTGTTTATTGGCAAGGTCTTTGGGTCCTATTTCAATTCTAAGAGGAACACCTTTCATTTCCCAGTGAGAATATTTCCACCCAGGGGAATAGTTATCTCGGATGTCTGCTTCCACGCGTATACCACATTCCAGCAACTTTTGTACAGTGGAAGAACATGCATCAAAGATCCCTTGTGTGTCAGCATCCTTGTAAGGCACTGGAATAACAATTACTTGGAGTGATGCAACTTTTGGCGGCAAAACCAGTCCCTTATCGTCCCCATGAACCATGACCATTACACCAATCTGTTACACAACAAGAAGTTACCGACAAAAGTGAGGATTTGGCACATGTTAATAATAAGAAGCATAAAGCTGGGTAAACTTGGGAAATAAAATGTTAGTTCTACCGTTCTAGTAGTGTATGCCCACGAATTCTGCCAGACCATAGCTTTTTCTCCCTTCTCATTTTCAAAAAATATCTCTGACATCTTAGCAAAGTTCTGTCCCAAACAATGTGAAGTGGCACCTTGTATACCACGTCCAGAGTTGGGGATAAACGCCTATGTAAGAAAATAATGCTGACCAATGAATACGCCAAAGAGAACAACACTTCCCAAACAAGTAGGATGTGATAATATCCAACATAAATTGTCTCATTGCAATGGATAGTTAACAAAACCTCGACAGTTGTTGTATAGAGTCCACCAGCAAACTTCTCAAGCTCACTTTTCTTGCCCTTGGTGACTGGAATGGCCAAGAATTCTTCATATATCCTTCTATACAGTTCCAAAATATCAAGAACCTGATTGCAGCCCCCACACAAACATTTACACATGTATCAAAACAAATAACCAGTCAATATAAAACAATTAAGTATTAGAACACATTCATAAAATTAAGACATTACCTCGGCATCTGCCTCCTCTTTGGTTGCGAAAGCAGTGTGGCCTTCTTGCCAAAGAAATTCACGGCTTCTATAAAATATAAACACATCCAAATTATTGTAAGGGAAAGAGAAAGAGGATACAAGCAGGGAACGGATAGAAAAAATAAGTTCTTTAGAATGGATTAGGGGTTAGAGGAGCAAGTCTACATCACATATATTTCAAACACAGTTCTTACGGAGTCGCCATGGCGTCACCATGTCATCGCCGCCTTGACGCCGCAGCCCTCACAACTGCTTGCCATGCAGTCTCGACACGCGCATGTGTTTTGGGGTCAACGCATAGATGACACGGCATCCGAACAACGCCATAGGCACAACACGATGCCAGAGGTCATAAAGCAACCAAAGTTTGACCAGGCCAAAAAAAACATTTGACCAATTAAATATTAATTGCACAAAACGGTCATCGGCAAAGTCCAGACTCATCCCCATCGTCTCGCTCATCGGCACCCATTGCTTGTCTCAATCGTTCGTCGGCATCTATCACTTGTCGCCATTCCAAACTATGAGCATCGTCTTCCTCTTCCTTATTTCCCAAATCTCAACAGAACTCTTTTATTTTTTCAGCCTTCCACACGCAGTCACGCATGTGTTTTTTTTTACAGTTTTACTGCAGCAGTATGTTTTTTAGATCAGACTAGCAGCTTTAACAATGTTGTCATTCATCAAGGGCATCTGCCGATACCTTAACCATATTCTACCTATTAGTAATTAGTATTAGTAATTAGTAATTAGTATTAGTAACTGGTAACCTTTTTGTACTTTGCTTTTGTTTTATATTTAATAATTTAATAATTCAAAGTTACACTCCAATCGTAAATTAATTTTTATGTTTACTAATTAGATGATGGTTTAATCTTATGGCCTTATGGATTATGTTTATGTTCTTATGGACTATGTTGTTACACTCCAATATGGTTAAGGTATTATAGATTACGGTCATGTTTTAAACTTTAGAAAAAAGATGATAGTTTAATATTCAAGTTACACTCCAACATGTTTTACATCTTAGTAGTGTTAGCTATAAGTGTTAGATGCATATAAAATATATCATGCATTTATTATTGAACTTGTGTCAACGTATCACCATGGCGGTCCAGGGTGCTGCGCAGCAAAACCCTATGTCCCTACCATAATAACTATGATTTGAATCACTAAAATTGAAGGAAATACATGACAGATTATCACTGGGGGTTTAGAACAAGAAGTTAGCAGTAATGTTACCCCCAACATTCGTTTTAGGGACATTCCACTCATCAAGACATATAGATTAAACTCTCCAAACACCCCACCCCCCTAAAACCGTCATCCGAACTGATCATTAGCAAGTTAGCAACAAACAAAAATGTATGTAGAGAGGAAGACCTGATAAAAGGAGTGGGGTGGCTGAACTCCCAACGCACAACATTGCACCACTGGTTCAGTCTCAAAGGCAAATCACGATGCCCTCTAATCCACTTTGAAAAATAAGGATACATAATCGTTTCACTTGTAGGACGGATTGCAATAGGAACTTCCAACTCAGAGTCTCCTGACTTTGTAACCCAAGCAACCTACAGATCAAGAGTTCACAGAAAGGACGTTTTCAGAGTTACTACTCTTCTTATATTGTTGCATACATTTCAAACAACGATCTTACCTCAGGTGCAAAACCTTCTACGTGGTCCTTTTCTTTCTGTAGAGCAGCAGGAGTTACAAAAAGTGGGAAGTAGCAGTTTTTTATGTTCATTTTCTTGATTTCGGCGTCAAAAAAGGTCTGCATTTAAAAAAAAAAATTAGATACAATGAATTAATTCATGTATCTTACAGCAATTTCCTACATTGAAAGGTAGGATCAGAGAAACACTTGAGAGTAAAAGCATACTTGCATAATCTCCCAGATTGACATTGCCCATGGCCGCACAATGTAACAACCAGATATGTCATAATACTCGATCATTTCAGCATTAACAACCACCTATATTATTGTCAAAAGAGAGTGTACTTAAAATTCAAATTGAAATATTAGAAGCCTGATCACAAAACACGGGGCAGATGTTGAATATGCAGTACAATTCTTTTGAAACAAACACACGCAATCGATAAATCAAATGATTTAGCTTCCACACTTACCTCGGAATACCACTCTCCAAAGTTTTCATCTTTCTTGTAAGTAAGACCTAACCCAGTCTCTTTCTTCACTTCCTTTTTCCCCTCTGAAAGATAGAGACAGATGAAAGAGCACATAAAAACAACAAAATGGTGATACAAAGAATGCTTCCTTGGACAACAATAAACTGCGAACACTCACTAGCACTCGAACGTTTTGACTCTTTACTAGCCATTTTGCGCAGACCTTAGATGCCCCCCCGGAAAGACGAAGCGGCTCCGGTGGTGTTCAGAGAAAAAGGAGATAAGCTTGGAATGAAGTTTTTCGGGCAGCGGCGAGATGCACGGGCGTCGGGGTTTGGAAATTTAAAGAAAGTGTGACAAGGTTATGATAGTAGTGATGGGCTGAGTGCAGCTAAGTTTATGGGCTTTTAAACGCGCATCTGTGGTCTGCGTGCACTGCCGTGCAGGGCGTATCCAGGGGATTAGGGGCAGCTGCCCCTATCGTTTACTCCTTCCGTCCCACTTATATTGTCCCGGAAGAGGGTGACATGGTTATTAAGAAAAGTGGGTTTATATTGATATTAATTGATAAAGTAAGAATAAAGTATGAATGATTTAGAGCCACACAAACTTTGCCAAATATGGTATGGGACAATATAAGTGGGACTTCCCGAAAAGGTAAAACGGGACAAAATAAATGGGACGGAGGGAGTATACAATACAAGACTTAAATAGAGAAGACCATACTAGACTTAAACAGATCAGATCAGACATCATCAATCCTCACTCAACCTCTATCTATATACGTAGTATATATGACCTTCGTCTCACTCAACTTTCTCAAGTTGATGTTGGTTGAATAATTAGAAGACTCTATAGTAAAGATTGTGTGGTTGAACAAATTCATTGTTTTATAAGGAGAGAGAAATAAACAGAGCAACAAATTCATTGCTTTAAAGGAAAGTGACAAAACAAAAAGTGAAAGTTGACGAATCTCAATAAAGCGGAGGGAGCATTATACTATCATAGCATTACATATCCAACTTATAATTTAGTATTATTCTAAATAGAAATTAAATGTAAATATAATTACACAAATAGGAGTGAAATCAAAATCTTTCTTAAATAGGATTAAATATAATTTTTTTTGCTTAATACCCCTAATTTAATTAAGTAATTGTCCACTTAACCAGGATAAACTGTTGGTGGCGGAGCAGTTCAGTGGTGGCTGTGGTGGTGGAGCTCGGGCGAGATGTCGTGGCACAAATTGGCGGCGAATATATTCTGGGATTTTTTAGCGGATTCCGGCGGCCGATAATGGCAGTGGGGGGTGGGGTGGTGGTAGGGGGACACAAACGTAACAAGTGGTACCAAGTGATTGTATCAACCATCACTTGTTTCAAAAATATTTCAAAAATATGTAACAAGTATCATAGAGGATGATATAACAAAAATATGTACAATCACTCGGGCGAGACAAAAATATTTTCTCTATCCTCACTTGTTTCAAAAATATCATACTCCGTAGTTATATCAATGCATTGATATAGAAAGAATGGCACACGTATTACTACTGGGCTTTGAATAGACAAATATGTGGCCATGTTCTGATTTAGACAAAAAAGAGACTTATTTTAACTGATCCGACAATTATATCCCTGCTTTATAAACCCGTTCCAGGCCATCTGCTATTCTGCGATGCTTCATCGCTCGTGTGACTCGTATCCACATCCTTCAATGGCCTTCATCATATTTCTTTTCTGCAATCTCAATCGCCGCCATCTTCACACAGCTATCGCGATTTCCACGCACCCGCCATCTTCTTCTCTTTCTCTTCTTCTCTTTCTCTCGGTCGATCGAGGATGGGGTAACGACAATCCATAATCGTCTGCAGGTTGTTGATGGCGACGGACGCGGTGAGATAGCTCAGGTGAGAGTTCTCAGGTGATTTCAATCACAGAACTTTTGGGATGGAATACATCGGCTTTGAATCGGCAATTTTGGGACCCAATTACAGTTGGGTGGCGATGTGGCCGACTATTCCCACTGGAGCTGGAACGGGATTGAGGTTAGGGTGAGGGGGAGGAGATGGGTTTCCGACAAAGTATGGGTTTTCAGTGACGGAGAGGGCCCTGGGATTCTGGAAAGTGGTTGGGGCTATTGAGCTGGATGGAGCTTGGGCCTGGGGAATCAAGCCGGGGGATGCGGCGGCGGTCGGCGGTGTTGGTCAGCTGTGGGGCTGGATGGGTATGAAGGTGGTCACCGGTGAGTAGGGCTGGGGGGCTGCCAGTTTAGTCACTCGCTGGTGGGTTTGGTCACTGTTCGGGGGTTTGGCGGGACGGCGGTTGTAATTCTTTGGGCGAAGAAAGTCACTGGGTGGGCGGCGGACATTTGTCACTAGGTGCTCGGGCGTTGGTAACCCCACGGACATGGATCACTTGACGGGTGGACGTTGGTCATTGTGACGTTGGTCACTGGACTGTAGTTAGTAACTGGAACAGTAGTAACTGGAACGGTAGTAATTGAATTGTAGTAGTAACTGAATTGTAGTAACTGAGACGGTAGTCACTAGACTCTAGTAATTGGGACGGAAGTCATTGAAGCAATAGTAACTGATAAGATTTAAAAAAAAATTATGCTATTTATTTTTGAAAACTAAGATTAAAATAAAAAAGAAACATAAATGTTAAGCAAATGGAGGTTACGCATATGGAGGTTACGTAAATGGAGGTTTGGTGGTACAGAAGGCAGTGTAATGGCATGGTCTTGAGTTATTCAGATGCACCGTTAAACTTGGGAAGGGTAATTTAGAAAAGTGTGTGTTTATTAGTCACATTTGTGGAAACTAAAAAAAAGGTCTCTCTTGTGTCCCTTGTCTATTTTTTAGTAATATTCATGCCAAAATCCCATTGATATAATACTCCGTAGTATTACATTATATTTACATGGGAGTTGCTACAAACACGGGAGCACAAATCAGGATACTCAGTTGCATGATTCTAATACTCAATAGAGGATGGTTGATACTCACTGAAAATGTATTGATGCTCAATTAACAAGACTTACAATTTTCATATCAATACTCATTTTTTAATTTTTGTATGTTCATTTGGTACTGATGTTATGCTCATTTTGAAATGTCATACTGCATATTTCAAAAGTACCATATCATATTAGATTCGCATATTGGAATTCATAATATAGTTGATTGTATATATAATTTAATAATTTTATAAAAGAAAAAACAAGGAAAGGAAATTGAATTAGAATATATGAATCAGACATCATGATGCTAAATATTAGACTCATAGTAGACAACAAAATAGGTTCGGTACTCAGTAAAAATTCATTAATGCTCATTTTACAGAAACTGTGATTTTCATCTCAATAGAGGATGTTCGATGCTGAATGAAAATGTTGTGATGTTCAACTAACAAATATTACGATTTTCATATCAATGCGCATTTTGTTAGTTACATATGTTCATTGTTTTTATAAAAAGTAACAAGTAAAAGCAAAGGGAAAGAAAAAATAAGTAAGGAAATAAAGAAAACCCCAACCCAAAGCTTAACAAGAAATCCCTTAAATTTTTAGATAATCCCAAACCCTTGGTCAAAACTTCAACGCTCTGCTCGCGATTGAGATCTAGTCCTCATAAGATGCGAACGCTGATTCTTTTTTCTGTAAGTTCTTGTCTGCGTGTTCAAATTCTGTGTAGGTAGACAATTATCTCGCGTGACCCTTAGTGCTTTGACACAAATATCATCATTTGCATCAGAGTCCCATAAATCATCCACAGTCAAGATAGGAACCCTCTTCTCATTCTCTGAAGCATGCCCAAGGACTTCATCCCCTGAGAACGGTGAGCACGGGTCGCCATGAAGTCCATCACAAGCAAAAGCATTAGAAAGATTACCAACCCATCCTGACTCTTGATCTCCGGACTGCTGCTGATTAGCTTTCTCCACAACAAGATTAGAATTCCCTTCGTTAGAGGGTCCCAAAATCAAGCTGTCACGCTTATCTAAAATCGAAGCAAGAAGTCTTTCAAATTCATTAGTTAGAAAATGAGATAATGAATTCACCCCATTTGACAAAGGGAGTTGAAAGAAGTCCTTAAGATTCGAAATTGCATCAAGTTCACGCGATTGCTCAGGTTTTGTTGTGCCATGTGCTCATTTAGTACTAATTTTATAATCATTTGTGAAATGTCATATCAATGCATATTTCAAAAGTACCATAATACTTTAAATTCGCATATTGAAATTCACACGAGTTGATTATAGATATAATTTAATAGGTTTTTTATAGAAGGAAAAATAATCAAAAGAAAGTGAATTCGAACATATGAAGCATATATCGCGATGTTCATTGTTAGGCTGCTAATACTCAATAGAATATGTTTGATGCTCACTAAAGATACATTAATGCTTATTTCGGGAAAACTGTGATTTTCACTTAAATTACAAAAATGTCACCGACTATACGGTATCTATCCTACAACCGGTGGTACGATATAGACTTCCATAACACGGAGTAATTAATATATAGTAACTAAAAGTAAATGGCCTTTCAATATTTTCAAAAAAAAATGGCCTTTCAGTAATTAAAAGTCGAAGTGTTGGTTATGCTTTGTAAAAGTAACGAGTTCAAAACCCCTCACCGTGAGTTTTTGTTGTTGTTTACTTTTCCCTTTTGAAGTCTTATACAAATTCAGAACCAGTTTGGTAATTATGTTTTTTAAGGCTTATCAACTTACTTTTTGATCAAACAAATAATTTTGGATTTCGTGCCCTTAATTGCTTAATAATAAGAAAATGTAAGATTAAAGTTACTCTTCTGACTATATTGACTGAAGTTACTGTAGAGAACCATTTTAGCTATTTTTACGTATAATTTTTTCTCTATTTTATCAATAAGATAGATTTTAATTTTTTTTTCATAAATCAGAATCAACCAATTCAGAAACTTGAGCCAGAATTTCATAAATTTCAACAGAATCAACCGATTCAGCCGATTTTAGTATTACCAAACAGGCCCTCAAAGTGGCTTTACGTAAATTTGTATAATTTTTGTCTTGTTGGAAGGATTTAAAATACATCAATATAATTACAATTTTTAGTTTGACATATGATTCATAAAGTTCAACAACTACATTTTGTACATAATATAAACTGACTTTTTAATATATTTGTGAATTCGCAATTTAAATTAATTCTAAGTACATTTTTTGTCCTTCCCTTAGTTGATTCATTTATTTATTATGTAGTAACATGATTTTGAACAAATTACAAACGCCATGTGATAAAATTATTTCTAGCAAAGTGAATTTTATTTAAATATGATATCATGCTATTTTGTCTACTGAATATTTTGCTATTTATAATTGTTAAAAAAATCATTAATGTGATTAGTTGGTAACATGCACGAGATA